GGCCGGGGGCCAGCACTGCGAGCAGGTCCCGAGCCCCCTCTCCTGTGGGGGTGGCACCCTCCTGCCTCCTGCCTGGCAGCACCTGTGTTCCCTGCCTCTCCTGGCCACCTGTTGACCCTTCTGCAGGTGAACTTCGTGGTCGCACAGGAGGGCAGTTATTTGAGGAGCGGAGCCAGTGCTGCAGAGTGAGGGGAACCCCCAGTGAGGGTGTTTATGACTCTCCACATTGGCTGTGTCATTGGAGGCTGTGATGCTGTGTGCTGGGGGCTGCGGTGCTGAGCCTGGCGCAGTAGCTGCACAGTCCAGCCTGTGGCCCCTAGGAACTAGACACCAGACCGCGGACTGTGGCTCCCCGGTGCCCAGCCCATCCCCACCCTGGGTCAGGGTCTGTGGGCCCAGCCGGGGGACACAGCCGCCTGTGGGCAGCTCGCCAGTGCCCCTGGCCACACCATGCTGATTGGCCCCGGTCATCAGACGATATCTTAATTGCCTGGTGATTGTCCCAAGATCCCTTTCGTCTCCTGTTATGAAGGCTGGAGAGGCTGTGCTGCATGGCTTCCTAATTAAGAAGGTCTGCGTCCCTCAGGCTCACAGGAAGTTGTTCTATTACCACTGGAAACCCTCTTTGCACCAGACATTCATTAATTACAAAAAGGACAAGCTCTTGATTTTACTGAGGGTGGAACTTAGTCACTCACCCTCTCTGCCAAGTTCCAAATGTGTGTTCTTGAAGCACAGAGAATGCAAAATGGAAAACATTTGGTTTGCACTGTTAGGCTCTGAAAGCCACAGGCTTCCCCACCAGTGGAAAGGAGCCCGGGAGACAGTGCTGGCGGGAGGAGGGGAAGATGAACATCGGAGGCCCAGAGCCAGCAGGCGGGAGCCAGCAGGGCGCCCCGGGCAGAGGGGGCCCATGCCCGGGGACCCCACCCCCACCCCTGTGTCCCTGGGCCTGAGTATGCCCTTCCGAAGATCCAGCTGCCTTAAGTTAACCCCCAGGGCCAGCTGCCCTCCTCCCAGGGCGTCGGCTCTGCATTGGCAAACAGGAGTACACTTCGTCTCTGAGGCTGTTCATGATGACAGGAGTTCATGAGTGCGCACTCACACCCAGTGTAACTGCTGCGTGTGGAGAGTGGCCTGCACTGGCCCCACGGGAGACCCTTCACCACGTCACCTCCTGGAGACTCCTGGTCCGCAGCTGGCCCCGGGAGCATCCTGGAGGCCGCCTGGCCACACGGCAGGTCCCAGGGACCCCATGGCGCTTGGCACCCCTCGAGCAGGGCAGAAGCCCAGGCGCAGGTACCAGACCTGGTCAATTCTGATGTCTACCCGCTGCCGAGAAGCGTCCAGAGCCTTCAGTGCACACTCTCTCTCCCGCCGGGCAGGCAAACGGGGATCGCCGCTCCCTGAGCTGCCAGTGGGCGCCTTTGCTGTCCCCTGTGCTTTTTCAAATGCACAGGAAGCCCTCGCCCCCAGACTGGGGGATGGGCAGCCTGCAGGGATTGGTAGTTCCTGCCAACAGCTTTAGGCTCTTGAGAGGAAGTATGGTTCCCACGGAGGAACTTTGTCCTTCTCCCCGTCACCTCCAACCCCCCATTAAAAACAGCAACAGCCAACAACTTATGTATTTATTTACTTTGCCGGATGGAGGGAGACGGCTGCGAGGAGGCAGCGGCAGCTGGGCCGTGGGTGGGGCCGTGTGCAGGGAGCCATCTGTCTAGTTCTGCCAGCTCCGCGCCCAGCAGGGAAGTGGTGGCCCCTCTTAGTCACTTGGCTGGGAGAGCTGTTTATCCGAGCTCACAGCCCTGGGGAGGCTGAGCGTCCAGCAGCCGGCCGGGTGGGACCCTGCCTCCACTGAGAGCAGAGTTGCTCACCCCTGGCTCTGTTCTGCCCCCACATACCTCTCCCCAGCCCTGAGGTGTCTTTATAACACCTCCCGGGGCAGGTGGGCAGGAGAGGGCCATCAGCATGTGGGGTGGCAGCACTGAATCCACAGAGCCCAAGAGCTCCCCACACAGGCTGCCGCCCCCGGAGACAAGGTGAGGGGTGAGCCCTCGCCAGCTCCTTGTTCCCAGGCTGAACAGGGTTTGGCCGCGCTCTGCAGCCGGCCCGCTGCCCGCACATCCATCATGAGGCAGCAGGAGGTCTGTCTGAGGGCAGATCCTGGCTGATGAATTAGCTGCGGAATATTGAACGTCAGGGACTCGCTTGGAACAGCAACCTTGGGGCCTGGTGCCGGGCCCAAGGCTCTGGCTCCTCCCCGCTCCCTGCCGGGCGGACACCAGAATTGCCCAGGTCTTATACCTGCACCTGGGCTTCTGCCCTCCTGGGGTCGTGCACTGAGAGAAGCGTCCAGAACCTTCAGTGCACATGTCTAGAGACTTCTGGGAGTGGGATAGTAGCAGTCGTTTGGGGGAACCTGATGGAGGGCCGGAGGGCCAGGCTCGTCACAGCCGCACATCAGGGCCACGTGAGCCCCCCTCGCCCTTGAGGGTGCGTTGGGACCTGGTGGGAAGGGAAGGTGCAGCGTCCGTCTCTTTGCCTCCTCGGGAGGCGCCTGGTGCCAGGACAGGAAGGGGAATCTGCCCCTGTCCCTGACCTGTCCCCTCCTGGCTGCAGAAGGCTGTAGAGGCTGGGGCCCTGCGTACTCAGGTGGGCTCCAGATTCATTCTGGATGTTCACCAGGGTGATGCTGGAGGGCCACCGTGTGCCCTGCTGCCCACCAACAGCCCCACCCCTGAGAGCCTGTCAGCACAAGCTGGCCTAGGGGATGGCAGCAGCTCAGACTGTGGCTCTGCCTCTTACAGGCTGTCGCTTGGGCGGGTCACTCAGCCTCTGCCCCACCTCCTCATAGGAGGGGGCCGTGATAACCCTGGACGCCTCCTGGGTGGTTACACAGACTCTCACGAGCTGGGCCATGGAGGGTGCTCGGTGTGTTCATGGGAGCGTGTGCATCCAGCCCTGATTTAGTTCCGTGAACATCACCTCTGCCCTGTTGCCTCCCTCGGGTTCATGGATTTGGGTGGGGGCCTGCCACGCTGAACCTTCCCTTTGACTTTCTGTAAACTAGGATGGCACTCACACCTCTGCAGTGGTTTTGAGATATTATTATGTGCTGTGTGGTTGCCCGTGTAAATGTACAATCCAGTGGGTTTTCTATCATGGATGGGAGCCACAGGTCAACCATGCCAGCCAAGTCCCATACAGAGGTGGGAGAGGAAAAAGTCCCTACTGTCTTAGCCTGATGGCCTTGACCTTGCATTCTTGGCCACTTTGGCTGTGCCTGCAATGACGGAGACCTGAGTTTGATCCCTGGGTCAGGAAGATCCTTAGGAGGAGGGCATGGCAACCCACTCCAATATTCTTGCCTGGAGAATCCCTTGGACAGAGGAGCCTGGCAGGCTACAGTCCATAGAGTCACAAAGAGCCAGACATGACTTTCACTTTCATTTAGGACAGGGATGGACATGGAGAGGGACCAGGGTCCTTCTACCTACAGTGCTCCATGGGCAAGCTGCCTTGCATCGCCCAACATGTGTTAGAAATGGGTCCTAGCCCCCGGACCCACTGCAGACACAGAATCTGCACTTACAAGATCCTCAGTGACTTGTACATGCACATTTAAGAAGCTCCAATCTTGCACCTTTTACCTGCATGTACGCAGGAGCCTTGGGTTGGGCTCAGCAGAATGTGGCCTTGTCTTCATGGGGTGCCTTCAGCAGGGGCTGGAGTACTTGGGGCCCGAAGGATGTCTTGTGCCCCCACCGACTTAGAATTTCCTGCTAAAATGGAGATAGAACATTCTATTTTCCTGGGCTGTTTTAGGTCAAATAGCATAGCGTCAAGTTTCATTTTTTAAAAAGTCAGCCAGAGATGAAACCAGAGCCGGCCTTCAATAAAGTATCTTGGAAAAGTCAGCGTTTTCCACGTGTGCCCCAAGAGTCTTCAGTCGGGGACCAGAACCACTCTAAGAAGCACAACCTAGTGCTTCAGATGCCCGGGTGTTCTGTTGGCTCCAAGCCGTGAGGTTCTGATAGTTCACACCTGGTGACATTTAGAGAACCATTTCTGAGAAGGCTGAAAGGGAGGGAGTGTTGGGTATAACCTGACATTCTGTCCTCTGGCTGATTGTTCTCTCTTTTGTCAATATACCATTTGCCTGTAAAACCCTTGGGCCTAAAAATAGCTGCTGGGGCTTGGTGTCATTGTAGCTGAAGGGCGCCTGCCCCGTTTCTTTGGCTTTCAGACACCCTCGGAGTGTCGCAAGGCAGTGTTGTCCAGAGGAATTAGCAGAGCTCTTTAAGCCTGAATCCCTGACCCCTGGACGGTGAGAAAGAACTCTGCAGTGGAACAGATGGGGCCTTGGAAGTGACCAGTGGTGCTGCTGCTGTGACCTCTGGGGCCACAGCACTTAGTGACTGGGTCAGGCCAACCTCAAGAGTGAAAGGGGGTCCATTCACTGTCATACTGACCAGCAGGCATGAGCGAGGATGGTCCTGGGCGAAACATGGCCTTTGGCCAAGTCTCTGGTCACTTGAGGACCTGGCTTCTTAGGTTTTACAGAGAAGAGGTGAGGTGGACACCAGGTGCCACTTCCTAGGCCTCTGTGCTGGCCAGGGGTGACTGCCCACAAAGCGGTCACTCGCTCCTGGTAAAGTGGCCAGTGAATAAAGTGGCCTTCTCAAGGTCACACAGTCAGCACGGTGTTTGTCCCCACTTCCCTTTGGGGCAGAGACCAAGAGTAGCTGGCATTCACTGGGAGTGCAAACACAGGGTCCCCCTTTGGCCCCTCTTCCAAGTTCACTATCAACTGCATTTTCAGCTAAAGTTCATTCTCACGAAGGCCCTGGGCTCAGCATTCCACCTGCTGTGGAAAGTAATGTGGGGCCTCTGCCCCACGGGCTAAAGGAAGATGCGCCTGGCGCGGCTTCTCTGCCCTCCGGGGGTGGTGCCCACGTTCCCTGGTTCTCTAACCTGCCTGCTCCTCTGTGTGTCCACAGCCCGAGACTGAGGACGAGAAGAAGCGCTTCGAGGAAGGCAAAGGGCGGTACCTGCAGATGAAGGCGAAGCGGCAGGGCCAGGTGGAGACTCAGGCCTAGACGCCCCTCCGGCCTGGAACAGACCCCAGCGCCGCATCATTAGAAGTTACTCCCCGGCCAAAAACCCAGTTCACGCTGACAACTGGGGTTGTGTGAAGTGTTCGTCTCACAGTGTTAACCGCTCCCGAAAACCTCTACACCAAAGCTTTATTTATATTACCCCAGTGTAAATGCTACACAGTATTGTCCCAATGCCCGCGCAGTCCCTGGAAACCCTGGGGTGACCTGGGCACACACTTACCGTATGTAGAGTTCAGCTTCACTAATAAAGCTACTGTTTGGCTGGACCTTGGTCTGGGTGGTCGTGTGTCTTGGGGGGGTTGTGCTCTCCCTGGGTGTGGGATTTGGGGGTCACCCAGGGGCCTAGTGGGCTCCTCTACCTTCCTGGGGGCCACCCTCCTGCCCCTCACTCCTCTGGGTGCCTGGACCTGGACCTGCCCTAGCGCCCACTTGCGTTTGCCTGATGACCTGCTGGTCAGAGAGATCACCCCTCCCTCCCTTCCCACCCCCCACCCCAGCCCAGGGGCCTTGGTTCCAGGCTCTGAGGCCCCATCCAGTGCCTTCCCATTGATGGGGGCTGGGGCACTTGTGAGGACAAAGTTTTGGTAGAAAGAGCCAAACTCAGGGACTTCTCTGGTGGTTTAGTAGTTAAGACGCTCCCAAATGCAGAGGGCTGGGGTTCAATCCCTGGTCAGGGACTTAGATCTCACATGCCGCAATGAAGATTGAAGATCCCTGTGTTGCAACTAAGACCCAGTACAGACAAATAAGTTAAATATTTAAAAAAAGAAAGAGCCAAACTCAGCCAGACCGACCACAGCTGCCCTGCCTTGGGCCTGGCCTCTCCTCACCAGAGGCAGCTTGAACACCTCAGAGCAAGAGGCAGGGATTCTGCCGGAGGGGGGCCTCCCCAGCCAGTGCCAGGGCCTCTGTGCCTGAGGGGGAACCCCCAGCCACTCGGGCAAGTGGGGTTACTGGGAAGGCTTGTGGCATGGGGGTCTGAGGGGCAGTGTGTCAGCCTGTGTGCGTGCATGCACTTGTATCGGTATCCCTGTCTCTGCAAACACGTGTGCGCACATGTGAGGGAGGAGGCTGCATGTGTGTGCACGCGCACGTGTCTGGTCCAGCAGCCTCAGGGCAGGTAAGCGGCTGAGGCCACTGCAGGGTCCAGGTCCCCACCCACCCACCTACAGCTGAGAAAGTCCCCTCCAACAGCACTCCTGGTCATCATTGCCTGTGAGAATGTTCCTGACCCAGGCTCATCCCCGAAGCCTGGAGATGAGACTGGTTGTCAATGGCACAGCCTCACACGGGGCTCCCTTGGGGCCAGGAGAGAGAATGCGGCTCCAGATGTGCAGAAACACCCGCCAAGACCTTCGGAATCCGTCTCGGCCCCAGTCCCGGCTGACGGGTTTGTTTCCTGCCTGGGAGCATCGGGAGGGAACACCCACAAGAGGCCACAGCAACCCAGCCCCTGGAGGCTGCCTCAGTCTCCCCAGTTCCATACCCCACCTCCCATGCCAGCTTCCTGGGTGCCCGAGGCAGGGAGGGAGGAGGAGGCGGCCTGCCTGGCAGGGCAAGCAAGACCATCCTGTGCAGGCTAGCCAAACCTTGCCCTGAGAAACCATAGTCAGTCATGCCAGGCCCCAAGTACCCCGGTCCTGGGGTTCCCCAAGGCAGCCCTGGGAAGCTCATCTCCCACGTGCCCCCAGAGCCAGCTGGGGCAGGGGTACCAGTCCAGGTGGCCGTGGTGAGCTGTGGAGGTGCACTTGGGGCTACAGGCGTGGGGCATGCTGCCCTCTGCCGCTGGGCAGCAGTCGGGCCCAAGGCTCTGGATGGCCTTAGAAATGCCACACTTGACTACCAGCTACCCTCTGTCAGCTTCCCACTGCTGCTGGTCTGTTTACCACCAGGACCACATGGGCAGGGAGCTGGCCTGTCCACGGAGAGCTCACAGGGGCCCTGATCACCCAGACGCCACACTCAGGGAGCCCATGGCCTAGGACTCGCACTCACCAACCCCGTTTCATTGTGGAACTGTGCTATTCAGATAGCTTTAATGTGTCTCACAAGACTGACCCTAAGGCTCCCTTTGGGTCCCCTAAAAGCTGCTCCTAACTCTCCAGCTGTCTCCAGGTGTGGAGCCGGTGTAGGTGGGCACAGGAGCCAGGCTATGGGGTGGCGCAGCCAGCCCTCACTGCATTTGGTTGACTCTGGTCCTGGGCAGATGCCTACCTTCCTCTGGGCACAGGGCTTCCCGCTCATGGATGCCTCCCAGATGTGTGGCAGGACAATGCTGTGATGCCCGGGAGTGACTCTGGAGGGCTCTTGTCCAGGATGCATGTGGTCACTGGCTTCCTAGAAGAGGCAGGCAGCATTCTCTGGCTGGAAGGGAGGCCAGGTTGCCAGGATGCCAGCGGCCACTCTTTCTTGTGACTTGGGTCTCCAGAGACCCCCATCAAGGCAACTACTGGATTTCCCCACCTGGCCTAGTGGTGACAGCCTCTGCCCCAGCTAGCTAAGTGGAGGTGAGCTCCTGATGGAGGGAGAAGAGAGGGCCAGGGACTCCGACTCGCCCTTCCAGCCTCCTCCCAGCTGAGTGGTCTGGTCTCAGCTTCTCAGAGAACATTTCTGAGCCCATGGGAGGAGAGGTTAAAAACCGGCAGCCCAGTGGTCCCTTCACATGATCCCTTATTCCCATGGTGGACCCCCGCCCCCGCCACTCCCCAACCTCCGCGCCGGCCCGAAGCTATGTCTGAACCTTTAGCTGACCCAACCTCACTTCTCCCTGCCCGGACTCCCCGGAGGAACGACTCCCTAATTTCTGGAGGCCGCTAGTCCTCAGGTCCCCCCAAGTATTCTCCATGCTCCGCCCCATAGTTCACCTTAGATCCGGCTTTCTTTGAGAAGCCGTCCCTGAGCCCTCTACTCCCGGCCCTAGGTTCCCACTGTCTATTCCTGCCCCAGGCCCCCAGGCGGCTGGCAGGCCGTGTCCAGCGTCCAGTGTGGATAGACCCAAGACGACAGCAAGAGGCCAAGCTTGCCCATGCTTCGCTGGAGGCGCCGCCCTTCCTAGGGGGCTTCGGCCGGGAGGCGCGCATGCGGAGGGCGCGCCCCCGCCGACGCGAGACTGAGGACCCACAGACTCGCGGACCGACAGACAGACTCAGCGGGCCGCGCCTCCGAGAGGCGGGGGCGGGGCGGTCCGAGGGGCGGCGCGGAGGCGCCCGCGGAGGCATGCGCCCTGCTCCGCCCCCCGCCCCCGGCCGCCGGGGCGCAGCCAGCCGAGCGGCGGGATCCGAGCGCGGCCGCGGTGGCGGTGGCGGCGGCGCGAGGGGAGGGAGGGAGTGGCGGCGGGGTCGAGTTGAGCGGAACTCGCCGGCCTCGGGCGGCCGCCGCCAGGATGCCCTGGCCCGCGGGCCGCTCCGCCGCCGGCCGCCCTCGCGGCACCCGGCGGCCCGCGCTCGGCCAGGGGGCGCGGGAGCCGCAGCCGGAGCCGGAGGCGGGAGCAGCGAACTGGAGCCTCGGGCGCCCGAATGCAGGGTAAGCGCCGCCCTGGTCCGGAGGCGGCCGGGCAGGCGACCCCAGGCTGGGGGACTTCGGGCGGGGAGGGGCTGTCCGCGGTCTGTCCGTCACAGGGCCTGTCCGATGGCTGTGGGCTCCTCTTAGGTCTGCGCACCCCGCCCCCGCCCCCCCCAACTTGGGGACCTTCGGGGTAACTTCCCCGGGGTCGGCCGCTCCCTCTGGGCCTGGAAGCGCCGCCCTGGGGGACTTGCTTGCAGGGGGCGGGGATGGCCGATCTGAGAGTCCCGGGCCCACCCCTGTCCAGAGAAGCTCGGGGGGCGTCCGGGACCGCAGTCCCGTCGGCGTTCGGCTCCCGGCCGCCGCTCGGACGCGCCCTCGGGGCTAGGCAGGGCCGGGGGCCCCGCTGGGGTCGGACCGAGCGCCAGGTCGGGCGGGGGATCGGAGGACAGAGGAGCGGGGACCGCGGCGGTGGTGGGGTGGGAGCGGGCGTGGCGGGCGGGGGGCGTGTTGGAGATGTGAAGGCTCCGCGCCGAGAGCTCCTCCCTGGGCGGCGGCCGAGCGGGGCCCTGCGGGACCGATGGGCAGCAGCGCGGGCGGAGAGCAGCCTGGGGGCGGCAGCAGAGCCCGGGAATCCTTTCAAGTTCAGGGTTCTCTTTGTTGCGCAATAGAGCCCTGGGGCCGTGCGGCCTCATTGGCCCGCGGCTGTGACGTCACGTAGGGGCCCGCCCGCAGACCCTGCGGAGGGAGTCCGGTGGGTCCCAGGCCCGCCTCACCTGCAGCCTGCCCAGCGGTGTCCTAGGGGGAGGGGACGGCAGGGAGCGGCTCCTGAGATGCAAGAGAGGGAGAAGTCCGGTCCTGGAATGCTGCGGAGACTGTGATGCGGGGTGTTGGGGTCTGGCCCTGCTCCCTGTGAATGAGCAGAAGGTGTCACCAATCTGGAAGAAGAGGGTCTCCTGGTTTCTGCAGAGCCAGACCCCTCTCACTCTGCATTTGGAGACTGTGCTGTCCACTCCCCAGCCCATCCCGGAGATATTCCTCCCCCATCCCAGGACCACCAACCAGCTCAGGAGTCCACAGAGTCCAGGCTTCCTCCCCAGTGTTGCCCTGGACTCTGAGCCTCACTGTTCCCGTCTGTATTGTTGGGACAGTAGGACCCATCTTGCTTGGGTAGGAGGCTCAGAAAGACAACCTCAGCTCAAGGAACAAGAAAAAGCCAAGTATCCGAGCATTTTAATGTATAAGAAGTCAGGATTTTGATGTCAGACAGAGTTTGGATCCTGGCTCAGGCACATAAGAACTCAGGCAAATGGTTTTACCTCTGCTGAACAATCTTTAAAATATATATACATTTATTTATTTGTTTGGCTGTACCAGGTTTTAGTTACAGATCTAGTTCCCTGATCTGCAGGGATTGGGGACCCCTGCATTTGAAGCTCAGAGTCTTAGCCACTGGACCACCAGGGATGATGGAAGTCCTTCAGACAAGATCACTGGGCATATGAATTGAGAGGAAGGCACCTGTTTGAAGGATGAATGTCCCCTGTAAGGCACATTCTCCTGCCCACACACCTGGAACCCTTCCCTGAAGTGAGACACTGTTAGGCTAGACTCAGAAGAATTGGCACCATGAAGGGTTGTGCCAGTGACAGCCTGTGGCATTTTCCCCACCATTCTGCACCAGTAATCAACAGGTGGGTAGCGTGAGCTGGGCTGGGCCCAGGGTCCCAGGAATCAGACAGCCTGCTTGGGCATCTGAGGAAAGGCCTCCCAGTTTGACAGCCACAGAAGCCCAGTGCAAGTAGAAATAGACACCAGCCCAGGCGCATGGTGAACCTGGTTTTCTGTTTGATAACATAAGCCCTCTGACCCACAGCAGCATGTGTACTCTGCCCATTCTGGACCCAGAGTAGGCTGCCAGACCCCATGAAGGTACCCATTAGGGTAGCCCTGGGGCCTCATTACCCCCAAAGCTGGACTGTCCCAGGTTTCGGTTGGGGTTACCTTGTGTCTGCCTGCAGGTCTGAGGCTCAAATACACCTCTGAGCTCAATGTCTTGGACCTTGAGAGGTGCTGTAGCTCAGAGAGCAGGGAGGCCTTTAGTACACACATCTACACAGCCAGCATTTATTGAGCACTTTCTATGTGCCTGGCTCCATTCTGAGCACTTTCTCTGGCATAACTTCCTGGCTACCCACATGCTTCTCCGGACAGATAACCTCATGTCCACTTATAGATGAGAAAACTGACGCCCAGCTAAGTCATGTAACTGGCTGGGGAGCTGGAGTTGGAGTCTTAACAGCTCTTTACCCCACACCAGTGGCCTCTGTATGCTGAGGTCAAGGAGGCTTGCTGGACACCTGAACAACTGCTGGAGGGTCCAGTGGGGCCACCTCTCCTCCCATGCTGGGTCTGGGGTGACGAAGGGACAGCAGGTGTATAAGTAGAAGCCTAATGTTTGGGAGGGAAGTTGTCTGGCTCCAGAAGTCCCCCAGCCCCCCTCAAGGCCATTAGTGGGCACTAGTGTGGTCTGGAATAGACTCTCATCTGGGTCAGGGGCCCAGGCAGGCCCGTAGCAGGGGCACAGAGACTCATAGGGCTCAGAGGTCCTTTGGTGTCCACAGGGGTCAAGGCCACACACCGCACAACACAAGCAGGGGTGCCCAGCAGTGAGCTGGGAAGTGTTTCCCCTTTCCTGAGTACAGGGGCCTGCAATGGCCTGTCCAAAGCAAGCTGGGAACAGTGCCTGGGGGATCACGTGGCTGTGTCTGGTTCAGGGGCACCCATAGGTGTTAAAAGTGTTCGTCTCTGTCATGTCCAACTCTCTGCGACCCTATGGACTGTAGCCCGCCAGGTTCCTCTGTCCATGGGATTCTCCAGGCAAGAATAGTGGAGTGGGTAGCCATTCCCTTCTCCAGGGGATCTTCTCTGTTGGGGATAAGAGAATTGCAGCCACTGAGATTAAACAGGCTAGAGAGTGAGAAGGGCCAAGTGTAGGCAGCGTACACAGGAGGCCTGCACTTAGCACTGTGCTTCTCTCCACACTGCCTGCTCCAGACTGTGGCCAGAGTGGTCTGCTATGGTGGGCCTCATATCGGACGACTGGCCACTGTTCTGTGCAGGGAGGTGCCAGGCCATATGGGGGGATCACCCTCTCGCTCTCTGGCAGGATAGGGGAGCTCCCCAACACGTGCCTCCTGCCTGGGTCCTGTGTCCCTGGATCCTGTGCACAGGCTGACCTTGGGGCCAAGTTCTGGTCTGTGGCCAGCTATAGTCCTATGTTACTCAAGGTGTCCGGAGCACCCATTGTGTTTGTGACCTGGCCTGCCCTGGGCTTTAGAGATGAGGCATCTGTCCACCCAACTGCCCCCTGGAGGAAGCATCATCATCCTCATTTCAGAGGATATGAGTGAGGTTTTGTGGGGCCACACAGCTAGTGTGCTGGAGCTTGGTGGGACTCCCAGCCTGGGGTTCTGCCAGGGCCTTCTGGGTGTGCCCAGCTGTGGAAGACCTGCTGGGGGCTGACCCAGGAAAAGCAGGCCATGCTTTCCCAGAGTGGGCAGGAAACTGGTCCCCAGATCATCCTTTCCTCACGCAGAGATTCAGGGGGCTCATCCTCCAGGCCTGTCCTCATTGGCCAAATGAAGTGGGACAGATGAAGCTGAGGGCCCCCATCATGCACTGGGGCAGCGTCGTGTGGGCTGCGTGTAGATCTGGGAAGTGTGAAGGTGAGAGGGCTGGTCCTGGGACAACACCAGGTACGCCTATGGCACAGGGCCCACCTGGGCCTGGCCTGGCAGCTTCCCTGAGGATGCATGCAACCTGGAAGCAAGCCTAGATGCTGCACCTTGACCAGGAGTAGATGGAAGTGAGGGGCTGTGCATTGATTGAGCACCACTGTATACAACCCCCCCCCCCAGGAGCCAGGAGGCTTCAGAGAAGAGAGAGGAAGGCAAAGCAGCCCCGCCCACGCCAGGACCAGACAAATAATGGAGCATCAGGGGACCCCTCTCTCTCCCACTTCCAGAAGCCCCAAGAGCTCTGCTGCTGGAGCCAGGGGAGAGTCACTGAGTGCCCTGTGTTGCCCGCCCCCGCCCCCCACAGGTGCTCGTGGTCCCCGGTGTCCCTGGGCCGCCACGTGTGAGGACTGCTGCGCTGAGCTGAGGCCCAGCTTGAAGAGGATGTCCCAGCCACCGGCCAGCTCCCATCTGCACCATGAGTGATGAGAGGCGGCTGCCTGGCAGTGCGGTGGGCTGGCTGGCGTGCGGAGGCCTCTCACTACTGGCCAATGCCTGGGGCATCCTCAGCGTGGGGGCCAAGCAGAAGAAGTGGAAGCCCCTAGAGTTCCTGCTGTGCATGCTGGCGGCCACCCACATGCTCAACGTGGCCGTGCCCATCGCCACCTACGCTGTGGTGCAGTTGCGGCGCCAGCGCCCCGACTACGAGTGGAACGAGGGCCTCTGCAAGGTCTTCGTGTCCACCTTCTATACCCTCACCCTGGCCACCTGCTTCTCCGTCACCTCCCTCTCCTACCACCGCATGTGGATGGTCCGCTGGCCTGTCAACTACAGGTGAGTTCTTGGGCAGGTACCTGTGTGCACACAAACATCCTAGGCGGGTATGTGTGCCTGAGCGCACAGTGGCCTCAGCATGGGGACAGGGCCCCCCTGCGGGGTGCGGCACCTGTGTCACACTGAGGGCTGCAGGGGTGCATGCATGTAGGTGTGTGTGGGTGTGTAGGTACCCAGTAGAGAAGTGCTTGGGGAAAGGGACGTGTGATGATGTACTTGGGGACCAGGGCAGTCGAGGACCCTCAGGGCTTGGGGAGAGACCCTGTGAGTGACACCAGGTCCCTCTCTGTCTTATCCCTGCCCTGTGCCAGGCTGAGCAACGCCAAGAAGCAGGCGGTTCACACGGTCATGGGCATCTGGATGGTGTCCTTCATCCTGTCGGCCCTGCCTGCCGTTGGCTGGCATGACACGAGTGAGCGCTTCTACACCCACGGCTGCCGCTTCATCGTGGCTGAGATCGGCCTGGGCTTTGGCGTCTGCTTCCTGCTGCTGGTGGGCGGCAGTGTGGTCATGGGTGCCGTCTGCACGGCCATTGCCCTCTTCCAGACACTGGTGGTGCAGGTGGGGCGCCGGGCAGACCGCCGCGCCTTCACCGTGCCCACTATCGTGGTGGAAGATGCGCAGGGCAAGCGCCGCTCCTCCATCGACGGCTCGGAGCCTGCCAGGACCTCGCTGCAGATCACTGGCCTGGTGGCCACCATCGTGGTCATCTACGACTGCCTCATGGGCTTCCCCGTGCTGGTGGGTGAGCCTGGCGGGTGGTAGGAGCCCGGAGAGGGGACATGGGCTCTGGGACAGAGTAGGGCTGGGTGCTCCAGGCATTAGCAGTTGAATCTTTCTCACACTGATCCTTTCAGGAGGCATCATCATCTCCCCTACTTTATAAGTTATGAAACTGAAGTTCAGATAGGTCAAGTGACCAATATACAGTCAGGGCAGCTGTGGTGGGAACTGAACCCATGTTAGGTGGCTGCAGAGACCAGGGTCTTTCCATCACACGGCAGGAGACTTTCCACCCCTGATCTGGGTGAGATCCACTTGATACAGAGGGTATGGAAGGTGGGCTCACAGGCTTCCTCTTGGGCCCAGGTCCCAGGGTGGACAGAGGGGGAATGTGGTGCGGCAGAATTGGCTTTGGTCCTGAATTGGGAGGCAGGACAGGCCTTGAATGTGTGCTGGAGAGTTGGACTTGATCCCAGCGGCCAAACAAGCTTTCAGGTGGTGCTAGTGGTAAAGAACCTGCCTGCCAGTGTGGGAGAAGTAAGATGTGGGTTTGATCCCTGGATTGGAAAGATCCCCTGGAGAAGGGCATTTCAACCTGCTCCAGTATTCTTGCCTGGAGAACCCTGTGGACACAGAAGCCTGGCGGGTTATGGTCCATGGGGTCACAAAAAGCTGGACACAGCTGAAGCAACTTAGCAAGCACGCACCAGCAGCTGAGGAAGTCAAGGTGAGGGCTGGTCTGAAGACCCTGCCAGGTAGGGTCCAAGGTCCACGGAGGCTGCCTGGGCTCCTGTCTATGAGGCTGTGCCCCAGGCCTAGCCCAAGAATGATGTCTGGACTCAGTAGCCAAGCCCTCCCACACTTAAGGTTCCAGCCCAGCCCCTGAAGAGGGTCTAGAACTGGACAGGGACGGGTGGAGGGGCAAGGACCCTAGAGAGGCTTCATCCTAGCAGCTGAGCAGGGCATCACTGCAGGACCCCAGCCTCAGCAGGTGACAGGTACGGGGGTGGCAGCTTCATAGGCAGGGTGGAGCCCCACCCTTAATGGGTCTGGTACCCCTTAGGTGGAGACCTCCTGTGTGCAGTGGGGCCTCTGCTGGGAGAGGGAAGGCACATGTGTGAAATTGCAGAGCCAGATGTGAATAGCAGTGGGGTAGGGCCCCCCAGCTTCTCTTCAGTAGTGAATACATGGGAGTACTGTTTAAGGAACCCACATGATGCTGCAGGGCTGGTGCAGTGTCTGGAATCTTTGCCTCAAGATGTTCTCAGCCCATTTCACAGATGAAGAAACTGGGCCACAGAGAGGTTTGGCATCATTCTGAAGGTAACACAGCTCGCGTGGAAGAACCAATGTATGTCTGCATCATGCCCACTTTGGCTCTGAAAGGGGAACGGTTCAGTGTCACTCTAAATGGAGGAGTGAACTCCCCTGGGAGCAGAGGAATGAGGGGCCCCTGGGCCATGAAACAAAAGCCACGGGGTTAGACCCTCTGATCTTCAGAAACTGCTTGGATTCCCCACTTGGGTCTGAGGTCAACCTCAAGAGTAGAGGCAGGGCCAAGGAGATCATGAGCCAGGGAGCAAGGAAGATGGTAGAAAGTCTCTGATCTGGGAGACTGGAGACCTGGCTCTCAAAAATGGGATGGTAATCCTGACTCCCGTCCTTGGGCGGTCACGGATGAAATGCTTCCCGGTGCGCACACAGTCTTCTGACCGTCCGTCTTGGCAGTGAGCAGCTGTCGGTGGGCGGGCATGGACTTCGCACTTCACACTCCGGCCCTTTCCTGCCCAAGAAGAGCCTGCAGTTCTGTTACCTCCTCTGCCTCCTTCTGTGGCGGGTGGGCAGTCAGACCTGCCCTGCATATGGGAGAACTGAGGCTGGGAGGGGAAGCGGGGTGATGGGGGTCCTGCCGGGTGCCAGGCCGACCCCTGTGCCCACAGGTGGTGAGCTTCAGCAGCCTACGGGCAGACGCCTCGGCGCCCTGGATGGCACTGTGTGTGCTGTGGTGCTCGGTGACCCAGGCCCTGCTGCTGCCTGTCTTCCTCTGGGCCTGTGACCGCTACCGCGCTGATCTCAAGGCTGTCTGGGAGAAGTGTATGGCCCTCATGGCCAATGATGAGGATTCGGATGATGGTGAGGAAGGCCCCGTGGAGAGTGGCACCTGGGGGAGATCACTGGGGTCAGTGGGAGGACAGGTTTCAGATTCCCTGGTTTACCCCAGAGGTGCTTGAACCCCTAAGGGACCCAGTGTCCCATGGAGCATTCTTCTGTCTGGCTTGCTCCTCTACTAGGGTTTCAGTTAATTAGATGTTCCGGTTAGCAGAGTGGCTATGGACTCCAGCCTGAATATTTCCTGGAGTCTCTGACTTTAGGGGTCCTGGCGAACTGCCCCCAGGGGCTCCTGAGGACCCAGTCCTGTCTCTCCCCAGCAGTAACAATGTGACCCTGGGCTGAGCCCCTGCCACCTGCCAGGTTGTGTCAACGCCTTGTGTCTATTTAGTTCCCATCCCCATAGAGGAAGGAAACTGGCTCTGGGTCTGTGACTTCCCCAGCCCCGCAACTAAAAGGGGGCAGAATCAGGATTTGAACAGAGCACTCCACCCTTCTCCTTTTCTGCTAGCCGGCCCACCAGCCCTGCATGTGTCTCTAAGGGTCCCTGGGGGTTCACTCCTGAAGCCCCCCAAGTTTCCATGGCCCTAAACTTCTGCCCTGCCCTGCAGATACCAGCCTGGAAGGTGGCGTCCCCCCAGACCTAGTGCTGGAGCGCTCCCTGGATTACAGCTACGGGGGCGACTTTGTGGCCCTGGACAGGATGGCCAAATATGAGCTCTCTGCCCTGGAGGAGGGGGGCCTGCCCCAGTTCTACCCTCTGCGGCCCTTGCAGGAGGACAAGATGCAGTACCTGCAGGTAGAGACAGGCAGGGCTGGAGACGCGGAATATGCATGTGGGGGATACCCTGACCTCTCCAAGGCCTTTCCTCTCTGAGTAGGAGCCCATCTTGTCCCAGGGTTGCCTTTCACCTCCCCAAATGGGCTGGCCCCAGGTCACAGAGTCCATGGGGGGCACCCCAGCCCCTGTGCCCCAGTTCCCTTGTGCGCTAGGAGGGTGCTCAACTGGCACCTGTGTTATTTCCCTGGGGCTCAGCACCCTACTCAAGGGGACTTCTCCCCAGTTGACCCAAGTTACAGATGACAACACTGAGATTTGGAGAGATCGTCAGTTGCCCCAAATCGCACAGCTTCAAACCAGGGGTCCCTGGCCTGGTGATCCCCGACTCCAGGCCACTCTGCCCGGGGAGGGGAGGCTAGGTCCCCATTTTCCAGGAGGGTAATGGGCGATAACCCCGCGATTCTCACAGGTCCCGCCTACGCGACGCTTCTCGCACGACGACGCAGACGTGTGGGCCGCCGTCCCGCTGCCGACGTTCCTGCCGCGCTGGGGCTCTGGCGAGGACCTGGCCGCCCTGGTGATGCCAGGCGGGCCCGATCGGCGCCGCGGCAGTCTGCTGGCCCTCTCAGAGGACGCGCCCCCCTTCCGCCCGCGACGTCGCTCGGCCGAGAGCCTGCTGTCGCTGCGCCCCCCGACCCTGGACGACGGCCCGCGCCGCGCCCCCGGCTCGCCCCCCAGCAGCCCTTGCCACCGCCCCGGGCCCGGCGTTCGCTGCGCCTCCGCCTCGCTGCTGCCCGACGCCTTCGCGCTGACCGCCTTCGAGCGGGAGCCGCAGTCCCTGCGCCGCCAGCCCGGCCCGCCAGGGCCCTTCCCCGCCTGCGCCCTTGCTCCCGACCGCGCCCAGCTCGGTGGGGACGTGGCTCCCCCTGGCGGCGGCGCGGAGAGGAGCCCCGGGCCCCTCCCGGCCGCACACGGGCATCCCGGGACCCTGCGGACCGGCCTGAGCGCGTCGTGGGGCGAGCCCGGGGGTCTGCGAGCGGTGGGCGCGGGCAGCACCAGCAGCTTCTTAAGCTCGCCCTCGGAGTCGTCGGGCTACGTCACACTGCACTCGGACTCGCTGGGTTCCGCGTCCTAGGGCCCGCCAGCGCCTCCCCCAAGTCACCAGGCGGGCCGGGCCGCCTACGGGGCCAAAGCACCAAAGATGCCACCCTAGCCCGGGCTGGGCTTGGGGCAAGCTGTCCGGACATGTGCCAGCCTTGACGGGGCGACCATTGCCTGGAGGGACGACACCCCCCCCCCGCCCCCGGACAACCACCCTGGTTACGGACCAGCCTCTGGGCAGGGCACCTCCGGGGCAGAGTGAGGCTGGGGCCTGGGAAAAAGCGGGCTCCACACGGAGCAACTTGGCTAGGGTGATGGTGATGGTGGGTTGCCCAGAGAGGGACACCGCCAAACAGAACAAAACCCAGCCGTGCAGGAGCCACCAGACTCCATCCGGCTTTCTACTCTGCACTGTAATTGTCACACCTCAGGGGGTGGGGTACAGAGGGTCTCTAAGCACAGGGGTCTTCAGAGCCCAAACCAAGTTCTCTGAGCAGGTCTCCCTGCTGACCTGTTCTGCCTCACTTTCCCCATCTGTGATGAGCAGGTGACCATGTTAACTCTCAGGACTGTTTGGACAGGTCTCCTGGTCTGTGTACCCTGGCCACGGAGTGGACAGGGAGGGAAAGTAGTGTAGGATCCTCCCAGGGTCCCCTGTGGGGGTCAGTCTTCAGTGACCTAGTGTGGCCCCCAAGCCTGAGGCCTCCCACGCTTAGTGTCCCTGGCCCCCTTGGGCACTCTCCCCAGCCAAACTCAAGCACAACACTTGCACCATCACCAGTGGCACCACACTCACCTTGACCCCTATTAGCATCCCTTCCCTCATCACTCTGCCTTCATTGTTTGTGCCCACCACATCAGCCACCTCTGGGACCCCTGCCATGAAGGTTGTGGGTTATGTGGTGGAGAGAACTGAAGCAAAGCAGGAGTGGGCTACCTTATCCCGGTGCCCATCCCCAACCTGTGCATGTCTGGCCAGAAAGGGATCTTGGCTTAGAGTCCTCCCAGGTTCTGGGTGTAAGGTCTGGTCCATGGTGAGTCTTCCTCCACCCTGAGTAAGGACTCTCTTGCTGTCCATGCTAGGCACACCTCTTGCAGAGCTGGGCTTGGCCATGGACCCCCAGGGAATGTCTGCTGGGTTTTGCATGGAGGAAGACCCTAGGCTCAGGCTAAGAAGAGGCCCAGGAATACCCGTGGACCTTGGGTTGTAGGGATGGGGGTGTGTGCAAAGGCGGTCCCATCCCATCCCCTGCCTCCATGCTGTGGCCCCTACCTGTGAAGGTCTGGAGTGGGTTCCAGGGGCCTGTGAGGAGCTGGCCTACACCCTCTTCCCTCCTGCTCTGCAATCTGGAATTGCAGCACTGCCTCTGCCCCTCTGAGGGCCGATCCGGCTTCCTCGCCCTTCAGACAGTGTCCCAGCTCCAGAGAGACCTGGGGAGGACTACCCAGCTCTGTCTCAGCTTCAGAGGCCTCTTCAATCTCTGGCTGTGGGGTAACTTGGGGGGAGGAGCTAGCCACAGGTGAGTAAATCAGAATGTTCTAGTCAAGACTCAGCTATGGGAGGCCTGCCTCGCCAACGCTGCTGTGCCTTTAAGGATCGACATGTCATGTGGGGGCAGAGGTCACCAGTTAGCCACTGTCTCCCCCCCCCCCCCCCGCCCCAATCAGGCTGACCTATTTGTCCACCTTGAGTTTTCACTCTGTGTATCTCACATCCAATGGCAATACTTGCAGGGAAGCCTGGTCCCCTCAAGTCCCTCCAGGCCTGGATTTTACAAAATTAAAGAGGAGGGAGAACCCCAAGTGGAGGCCCCCAGGGCCTGGGGCTCCCCTCTCTCACTTTGTCTAGCTTCCAGGCCTGTTTGCTGCCTTGATGAGCAGCTTGACCCTGGGTTCACCTGGGAGGGAGATCTGTCTTCATACCTCCACCCAGCCCAGAGCCAGGGATCTGTTTGTAGCTTTTTTTTTTTTTTTGACAACTGAGCATTTCTCTTCTGTACAGACTCCAATAAAAACTTCCTATATAATTTGCACTGGGCAATCCCAGGCCAGTTTCATGGAAACACCTCCCTAGAATCTAACAGCACTGCTGGCCAGCTGCCCCTAAACGTCTCTCCCTCTGGGTCCTGAATTCCTCCTCCAGTGCGCCCTTCCTTTGGGTCGGACTTGACTTTTTCCTCTGCAAATCCTGGAGGTGAGTCGGGCCAGGGGCAACGGCCTGGTGGGCTCCAAAACCCTGTGAGTGCAGGTGGCAGCGCCTGCCTAGGGATGGCTTCAGGGACCCCTAACCCCAGTGAGGCTGGTTCTTAGAGTGAGAAAGTGTTAGTAGCTCAGTCATGTCCGACTCTTTGCTACTCCATGGTTTGTCCAGGCACGAATAGTGGAGTGGGTTGCCATTCCATTCGCTAGGGGATCTTCCCGAGCCAGGGATCGAACTTGGGTTTCCTGCATTGCAGGCAGATTCTTTACCATCTGAGCCATCGGGGAAGCCAGGGGTACTGCGATGGGAGACGTGCCTGGGGAGGCGGACTCATTGTGCCGGTTGACCCGCCCACCAACCTGGGCTGGGATTTAGAGGACGCGCCCCTGGGTCCGCGGTGTAAGAGCGCCACCTGGTGGCCCTCGGGATTAGTGCAGAAAAGCGGGACCCAAGAGGCCGCCCCAGGACCACCGCGGCGGGACCCCCGCCCCGACTCCAGAAAGCCGCCTGGGTCAGGTAGGGGAGCCAGGCCGCCTCTCTGCGCGGTCTGACCAGAACGGGTTTAGCACAGGGCAAGGCAGGGGCAACCCCAAAAGAAATGTTTTATACAAAGTTGATGTTTGTACTTCAAACAGGTTCACCCAAGTAGGCGTCATCATGGGAGAAATTAGAACCTTCATGGCCTCTTTATACCCATTCCACAGGTTGGCACTGTCTTTATTCTGCATTTCAAGATGGTGGGAGGAGGTGCGCGATCTCTTCCTGGTCTCGGCGCAGGATCCCTCTTATCCACGCCCCCGGCCCGCCCTTCGAGGGCCGGGACTCCCGGGCTAGAGCCCGGGCATAGCAATGACTTCATTTTCGGACGCGTTACCGTCGCACAGCGCTCCGACGGTTGTCAAGGATGGTGGGCTCCCTAGAGGCAGCGGTCCAAGGCCGAGACTGGGAGGCCGAGGTCTTTCCCGAGTGGGGATAAGTGAACTACCCCCTGGGAGGAGCCAGAGTCTGCCCTAGCATATCTCCAGTTGGCAGGACGGTGCGGGGGTTCCCTACCAGGAGCCTGGCGGAGCAGGGCGTCGGGTGGCGGGGGCGGTAGGCGCAGCACCTCACCAGGCGCGGCCTCTAAGGAGGGGGCTTCTGAGAGAACTGACCAGAGGGTGGGCCGCGCCGCGTGCGGAGAGGGTGGGAATCCGTGGAAGCCGAGTGGGTCTAGGGTGGGGGTGGGCTGGGGGCCCCTCGCTAGCGGGGCGGGGCCTGGGTCGCTTTGTGCCGGTGGGAACCGGGCGTCCCCCGCCCGCTGAATGGGCCGGGGCGGGGCAGCGATTCTCCTCGCTGCGAGGGGTCCGCTCTGGGCCGCTGCGGACGGCGACCTTCCCACCGCCGCGCGGCCGCGGGGCGGGGGAGAGGGCGGGCCGCCCGCCAAGGGCCCTGGGAAAGGGGCGCAGCCCGGGACACCTCCTCCCAGCCCCACTAGAGGGTGGGAGGAGCAGAAAGCGGGTCCAGCCTGAGTAGGTAGAACTGGGGCGGGGATGGGGTTATGCCTAGACGCTCAGAACCCGGTCCAATCACAGTTTCGTGTATTTCCCCGAGTTAGCAGAGACGCGGCCCCCTCCCGGTCACCCCGTTCTGGGATCAGAACCTAGCCTGGGGTCCCGGCCGTTCAAAACAGTCTCTGCATCCTCAGGCCAGACGAGGGTCCCCTTGAGTCCGAGGCCGCATCTGAGCCTCACCAGGGTCGCCACAAGCGCAGCCCCGGCTCCGGGCTCTCCGCGAAGCGGCGGGAAGTCGACTGCGGCGCCGGGATGATGGTGGAGGCGCCGGGGAGACCGCCAGAGAGGAGGCGCCGGGGTGGCGGGGACCGCGATCCGCCGGCGGCGGGAGCAGGGGCCCAAACTGGGGGCGCGCAGGGGCCACGCCGCGCGGGCGCCTCCGGGCCGGGGCTGGCGCTGTCCATGGTGCTGCGGCCTGCGCGCTCGGGCACCAGCGGGCCGTGCAGGCCGGCGCCTCCCTCCTCTCCGCGCCGCGGAAGCTGGCTAACGCCGGGCAGACAGCCGCGGAAGCCCGACGGGTACTCGGCTCCGCTGGGGACAGGCCAGAGCCCTGGGGGGAGGGCAGCGGACGAGAGAAAAGTGGAAAGGAAGGGAGAATAAGGGAGGGGAGGAGGAAAGGAGAGATGTAGAGAGGAAAGAGAAAGGGAGGGAGGGAAGAGGAGGGAGAGGAGGAATGGAAGAGGAGGGAGGGGAGAAAGGGACGATTAGGGAGGGAGGGGAGGGACGGGAGGGAGGCCGAAACTCACCCCCTCCCATGGGCCCAGACCTTCACTCACTCGGATTACAAGTCTGCAGCCAGCCAGGCTTTTGCTGCCTCCCCGCTTACAGCATTACCTCCTCACTCAGCTGCCCTGAGCGGTTCTTTTCTGCTCATCTCTGCTTTATCTGGCCTTGTAGAATCCATGGCCCTGACCCCACAAGCCTCCCTCTCCAGCCCCTTGCCCCATCCTCCCAGGTCCTCCCTCTACCTTGCACCGAGTTCTGAAGGCTTTTCATGTACTTGACGCTCAGCTCCAGTATGTCCGCCTTCTCCAACTTGCGTTTCCGAATCTGCGGATCCATGGAGAGGGTTCTCAGGACCGCAGCCTGGGTTCAAGCAAATGACGCCAGGGATCGTATCACCACCCCCCACCTCCACCGTGTCCCCGGTCTCACCTGGTGCGAGTAGTGTTTCTCTAGCAATGATTTGAGCTGCTCCAGTGACACATTAATGCGTGCCCTTCGCTTCTTCTCCATCAGCGGCTTGGAGACCTGTGGGTGAGCAGTATTACATGACCTGCAGAG